TATATATATACAATAATAATAAGTGTTTATACCTTGAAGTTGGATTGGCCACGTTAATATTTTTTTCTACACATATTTTTATTTAATTCTAATAAATTAAAACTATATTTATGTAATATGATCACGTCTTTCTAGATAAATTTTTATACAAAACTTTTACAGTCACCTTCAATTACCCAATATAACTCTTTATTTTTTATTTCGACTTGAGACCCGATAAGAGTCTCGGTGCGACAAAAAATTTTGGATGTAATTGGGAAAAAGAAAAAGTATTGCATCTGGAGTTTGGGAGTAGGCTACGTCCGGACAACGCGGTGCACTGATCACACTATTGTCTGTTATCTATGCATCGTGTCCGTTATCGAAACGTAGATCTATGTCCGAACTCCAGATGTAATATTTTTTTTCTGGAGAAAAAGTTTATCTTCTTTGATAAAATTTATATTGTTTTAGTAGTGGGTTTTGAAAACTTATATTGTTTAATGTTAATTTAATTTTCCCAAGTAAAAAAATTTCTTCCTGAATGGAGAAAATACTAATATTTAAGCTTTATGTATTTAATTCTCTGCTCCAAAAGTGTCAATAGTGGGAAAAATATTTGCGTACATAAGACGTACGCAGCAGTGCATACGTCTAAGGTTATTCAGGGGTTACAGGGGGTTATATCCTCCTGTAACCTCCGTGTAATTCCCTTGTAACATCCGTGTAACTTATTTGTATTCATGAAACTACAAAAGCGCAGAACTCATTTGTAGGTTACATGTAGTTTACAAAGAGATTACAGAGAGGTATAGCCCCGATATAACCCCCTTGTACCTCCTGAATAACCCTTGGACGTACGCAGCGCTGCGTACGTCTTATGTACGCAAATATTTTCCCAATAGTGGGTCATTTACTTATCAGTTTTTTTTTTTTTTTAATATGGGCTGCAATAGTTCGGGAGAATTAAAAATGGGAACTAGTTTGTATTTTTTATGAATTCTAGAATTAAAATAAGCTGGTGTAAATAATCAGGGCACATTTTGGCATAGAATTTACATCTTTTAAGTATAAAATGGCAAAAATGTCAAAATAGGATATAAATAAAACAAAATTTAAAATTTTTATCTTAAATAGGTATATGTGAAATTACAAGAGGTTGCTGTTATAATTTTCTTTTTTTGGATAATTTTGAGTGTTGCTAAACCCCAAACAACAAACAAAAAATACTTTTGCATTCTTAAGAGGTTTGATCAATATAAGAAGAATGATCAATTTATAAAATAAAATTTTTGCATTAATTTAGAAAACATTTTGTCTGGTCAAAATCAAATTGGAATATACATAACTATGTTGTTTAACTAATCATAATCAAAATGTGGCATGTGACAATCATATAAATATAAAGTGTCAACATAGTCCATTGATTTTTCATATCGGGGCATTTTAATCCCATAGTATATAAAAGTGTCAAATTAGTCTCCATGGGTTGCACAATTCTTATGTATTTAAATTTGAAACCTAAACTTTCATATTACATGAATAACAATATGGTGTTTTAAACATGTGCATGATGATATCTAGTTTACTTTTTAAAAAGTGATAATAGTATGAATGTATGAAATGCGTGAGCACGAATTTTAAGGAGATTCAATGGAGTAAGAGATAAATATACAATCAAGAATGACCCACATAAGAAAGATTAAAAGTCATGTCAACGGAAGACAAAAAAACCTGGTTGACCACCTACAACTCTCGGAGTAGGAACTGACGCCAAACAAACAAAGGTCGATTAAGTCAAAGTTTAATACCCACCGCACCGAGAGAAAGGACTAGTCTAGCTCCCATCCCAACATTGTCAGTCGCCTCACAATAGCCTTCGAGATTCTTCAGGAGTCTTAAGATTCTCATTACGACACATTCCATGAACACTCAAGATGGTCCTCCTTTCAAGGGGAAGGTTGTTTGTCGGATTATGGTGATTCACCCTTTGTCCGATAGCCAAGTCTCTTCATGAGGAAATGAGTTTCTCATCTAAGTGTCAGCAACCAATAACTCGACCAAAGCTGACGCTCAGTTTACTCAAGGCGACCGAGGGAAGTTCGGATAACCAAATCCGACCAGCTACTACAACTTAGTAGAATTGGCCGAATAGGCCTTGCCGACTCAAGGACTAGCGATCTCATACGGGTTAATTGATAGGGTAGCTGAGCTATAGAATCGTTTATATTTTATACCTAAAATAAGCTGCAACACCATCATAAAAAGCAGGGATAAGCATATAGTTCTATATTTTATATGTCATTGTCTATAAATTAGAAGGTCATTTCTACTATAAAAAGGTTAATCAGTCAGTTATAAAAGAACGAATTATTTGTTATGCACTCCCTCCCTCTCTTTCTCTCTCTCTCTATTTCTCTCTATTTTTTGGGTGTGATTTACATGACATAGTACTATTTTTTTGTGATATTAAAGATTTAAACGCTATGTGAGTAAATATAAAAATTACGTATTAGATAGATAATTATATAAGAATTATTTGTTATGCATGCAAATGACCTAAGTTTGTTTTTCTCCTCATAATATATGTTGGTCACTTTAATCCCGAGTTTTTCTGAAAAAAATAATAACAAATAAAAAAATAAAAAGAAAAAATTAGCTGGTTCGACTATCTACCATTCTAATTTCTGACTTGTCGACTGAGGCTCCGTTTGTTTGGGCTAATAAATGTCATTTTATGGGTGTTTGTTTCGCCCGTTTTATGTCCCTTGGTCTCGACCGCGTTTCAGTTTATTGTATATTTGTGACCGTGGATCACGTGGTGTGTTCCGCGGTTCGCAAATAAACAGTTACGTGAATACCCTCGATCTTTTTCCTATTTCCATTGTGCCTAGCCACTCAAGGCCTCCCCTGCTAGCCTTACCTCGCTTCAGTGTTCATCATCTCCATTTCACCGTAGGTATGATCCTTGCAAAAACGCACGTACTTGAAATCAGGAATCGAAAGTCCCCTTCTTTTATATTTTTCTACTAAACCCTTTCCCTTCTCCTACATTTTTTCGCCATTACTCTTCTCGTGTGTTCTTCCTGAAAGGCTTATTTTTTTGTTGATGGAAAAGATATTACTGTTCTATTTCACCATTGATGTTGAGATGATTGAAAAAATTTGTTTGTTTTTTTTTTTTTTTACAAAGAGTTTGGGCATATGCAGAGATTTTGCTTATTTATGGAATAAATGCAAATTAATCTGATTTTTTAAAAGATTTGCACACATACCAGACAATTGGAATTCGTTTCCATATATATAGCACAAAAAACTTCTATTGTTTTGAATGGTGGAGACCCTTCCTATGCTAGAATTAGTTTATTTCTCTGTTTAAAGGTCGAATGATGTTATCTTTCCGTGGTATGAAAGATTTGTGTGGTATAATGGTTTTTTAAAAGAATAAAAGAAAATTTTAGATGTTAGATATGCGAACCGAAGTGAATTGGCTTGTACATGAGTAAATACCCTTTGATTTTTGGATAGATTGGTAGGCAGCTGATGTAAATGTTTTCTTGCTCTAGTAGTATGGTATGATTGTGGAGATCCCTTTTATTTCAGTTGTATGTGAGAGGATTTTGTGTATGCAAGCTTCAACCACTGCTATTATATTTTAAGTGAGTTTTGTCGGGAATTGATGTTTAAAATACACAATTCGTTTAAATATGCAGCCCTTCCCTTCTCCTAAAATTCCACATTTACGGGTCTAATAGTTTAGTATGACGAAGCTATGCTAAAAGGTGGATTTCATATAAAGTTACTAGCGATGTTCCTAAAATTAGAGTCTTCTTATCTTCTTTCACTTTCATGCTTCACACTTGTGATATCCACGAGTTAACGTTAGGAATTTATGTTGCATATGTGAATCTATAGTACTTGAGTGGTATGTGTGTTAATATGTGAATTAATGCTGCTTATTGATGAAACCAATAAGGTTTATGTGCCTTAAAGTTGTATGGTCAACCGATCTTTTAATAGTGGTGTGTGCGTCAATATAATATTTTAAATCGTATCTCAAAGTTATAGATATAATGAAAAATAGGCATTGCAAGAGATAACACATCATCAGCTATATGAGGGAAAGAAACAAAAATAATTTTTGTGACATTTGATTGAGAAAGATTGATTTTGAAAATAGGTCTACAACACATTTTAACAAAGAATGTTGGCAAAACATCAAAAAAAAAAAAATTTAAGAGAGAACGGGGAGATTGTATGACGAAACTCAATTGAACAACAAATGAGATCAATTAAAAAATGATTAAAAATTTTGGGAAAACTCAAAATAGGATCCATTTGAATTGGTTGGGATCCAGTTAAAATCACCATAGATGCATCTGCAGAATGGTGGACGGAGAAGCTATAGGTAAATTTAAAATTTTATTATATGTAATTGTTCAGTTAAGTTACATGTAGAAGAATTATGAATAATCTTTACCTTCATTTTTGCTAACGACATGCCGTGTCAAATGCTAAAAAATTCAGATTTTGTGGAATCATGCCTGAATTAGAGGAGAAGCTTGATTAAATGTTCAATGGAGTTATTGCGACTGGTGGACATTCCTGGACTCCTCAAGACTCTCAAGAACCTAGAGATGATCAAAATGAACCGATTCAGAGTGCATCACATGAGAAAAATGAACATGATGAATTTAGTAATGCAAAGACTCCACTCTATTTAAAAGCAAGGGCATGTTGTACAAAGAAAATTGGTCATGCTTTTCTTAGGAGTCCAATGTTAGAATTAGTTACTGCTTGCACAAACTTATCATCTGAGGCTAACACCGTGAAACCCTCTTCATCCATTCCAATTGTGATAAAGATCTTAGAGAAAATTGTAGAAGTTTATGAAGATGTGCAATTTTGTCTTAATTCAATGAAACTTCTTGAAAACCCAGTGAAGATGAAATTTTTCATATTTATAGCTCCTGAGAGAAGAGTTGATTATTTGCGCTTCTTTTATAAAAATCACGACAACTAATCCCTACCATATAACTGTTTTCCCTATGGTGTATGCTTAATCTTCTTTGTATTCATAGATTATCTACTCTTGTGACTATTATATTGCAATTTGAGATTGTATTGGTGTGAACCTTCTTTTTTTTATGATCATACAATTAATATTTGCATTTGTGGTGCTTTCTGATGTGATGATGTTAATCGTATTGGGTTGTGGTTTGATATTATTGTGCGCTTTGTTTACAATAATAAGTTCTCTTCTAGATATGTTTTAATAAATTGCTTTGTTGTTGTTACAAAACAACGTGTGATAGTGATTGCAAATATTCAGAATTATTTCCAGTAATGGATGCTACAAATAAAGAGCACATGAATTGTTGCAAACATATTATTACAACAGTTATCTGCTTACAACAGTTATCTGCCTACTGTTTAAATACTATGACTCACACATCTATTCGAGTGGTCGGTTTAGAAAAAATTGCGACGAGTAATCTGCCCGAGGGGTTATTTCAATTGGCCTCTCTTAAGTGCTTCTAGCAACCAAGAGCCTCTGCATTATGGGTACATTGCTTTCTTCTAATGAAATATTTTTTATCTCCATGTGTTTACTCTTAATCTTGAAATTTGATATCTCGTCGAGCCCGTTATAGACTACATAAAGTAGAGGTTTGGCTCAGCAATTATTTCTTTGACCTTTAAGAGTTAGGTTTGTTACTTGTTAGTGTTTATTTGATCTTTCACACAATAATTAATGTGCAAATCAATAATTTGCAGGATTACATTATCAAAATGAGCTCAAGCAATTATTCAAGCTCTAAGGGGATCAAACGTTGAGCAGCATATTATGATTGCAGCCTCTTATGCTTTGTGTTCACCACACAGAAATGCGACAATATTGGCCACAAGTTCTACGGATGTCCCGAAAATCTTAAAAATAAAGACTAAGTTTTTTCAATAAGTTAATGAACCGAAATATGCAACACTGGAGCGAAATAATGAAAAGATAACAATATCTGAAGACACAACTGAATAATGATCTTAAATAGCTGAAATTTCTTGTGAAAAACTTGTTCTTATCTGATCTTGTGATCTTAGCGCTGTTTTAATTGTTGTTCAGATTGGTTCTGTTTTGGTGATGATATAATTTGAAGGACAAGCTGTGCTATATTAGATGTTTTTTTTGTGGGCAAACTCGTTTATATGGATGGGATGTAATTTATGTTGAACTAAAATTTATATGGTTATTTTAACGGAAAAACTTTTAAAACTATATTTTTTAAAACAGTTTAAAATCAAACCGTGCTTCCATACGAAAGAGTATTTCAAGAACTGTCTTTTTTAAATTGATGACTCCTGAAATATCAGCTTCTCAAACCAGCAGCCGAATAGAAGTACGCTGAAGCTGAACGGCTGCAATGAATCCCGTGTCTTCTCGGCAACTCCGCGCTTTATTAGCTGCATCTAACCAGTCGAAGGCCAACACATTATAAATAATAATAATAAATAAATATCTAGATTTATCTTCCTCCTAAGAGCCCGTCGAGCTTCCACACGCTTTCTGTCATCAACAAACAACTGAAGATTCGAACCTTGTGAAAGTTAAAGGTTCTTCAATCTCTCTTTCCAAACTTTTCTTTTCAGATCGGAAATACCAAGTGGAATTGGATCACTTGCACTGGTGAGTATCATCGTATATTCTTCAGATTTTTGTGGCGTCTTTTTTTTTTTTTTGTCAAAAAAATTAGGGTTATTTTCATTAATGCGTGTTTCTTTTTTTTTTTCTCATTAGCTTTATTGCTTCTACTTTTACGCCATTTATCGATATCATTATGCTGTTTTTATTTTATCGATTCTTTATTTTTCATGAGAGGCTGTTTGGATGCAAACAGGATTAGAGGATGGAGGAATTGAAGTACCGTTAATTCTGTAATTCTATGAAACGACTTATAAGTGCTGTTTGTATCAAGTAAATCTGATTATGTTTTGGATTAAAGGATTGAGGCTGCTACCTAGATTTAGATTAAATAGGGTTTATCAAATCCGATGTGCCAGGGAGATGGAGCTACTGAGCGACAACGGAATAAATCCACATTGCAATTAGGTTCAGTAAATCCAGATTTACATTGTAAAGAGACAACACGAGAAAAAAAGACGGAACACAAGAAAATTCAATTTAACATGGCGTTGGGATTAATTTTCATTTTTTTGATGTTTGGTTGGATTTAAGTTAAATCCATGACTAAATCCTGTTGATGGTATGCTACCAAACAATGTAGCTTTTCTAGGATTGGTAGATTTGTGCATTAAGGATTATAGATAGGGGTAGAGAGAGGGAGGAAGAGAGAACGAGGAAGTACTCACATACACTATGTGGGAGATAGAAAGAGCAAATCTAATTTTGCTAATCAATCTATTATTTAGTTAACCCCTCATTAGTCTGTTCAATTAATAACCGAATAAATAAATATGACCAGTTAAGCACTAATTTAATTACCATTTATGTCCTAATTATTAATCAACAATTAATTATGTTGGCAAACACAAGTACTAATTAAATTTTATTTCTAATTAATCCTTAAATTTCCTTAGTAAATTTGGTATATCTCTTCTATCTGTTATACATGTCTTTTCCCATTATGTTCTTTGTAATTTTTACCACACATTCATTTTGTTAATTTATAGGTCTTTAAATTAGGAATTTTTTTATTTCTAATTATAAGATTCATTGGAAACAACATTGAATGTGTTAGTTAACTGCTGTAATAAGATTCTAACTGCTCTTTTAACTTCATTGTTTACCTACAGGGGCTTTTGCTGCTCATAATCATTTGGTTTTAAAATGACACATGTATATGATAATGAAGCCAGCTCTTCTACTTCTAGTTCTCTGAGCAGTGATAGAAATGATATGGGGAGTGATGGAATCATTGCAGCTGTTCTTTCAGAGGAGTATGCTAATTTAGACAACGCTGTTGCTAGGCGTCTTTCAAGTCTCTCTTCCATTCCTGTGAGACTCTTGATCTTATTCTTAGTTTTCCCCAAAATTTCCATTCTATCATTGCAATTTCATTTAATTTGCAGTATCTTTCTTCTATAATCTTGTCATGGATTAGATTTTGTTCATTGGGATGAACTCATTTTGTTCCTATAATTTTCTTAAGTAGTTTGCAGATGAGCAAATTCTCTTAATGTTACACAGTTGTTGTTTATTCCTTCTCATTCTGTTTGTTTTCTTTGGTTATGCTATCATCTATACTATCATTTGGCTAACATGGCTTATGTAGCATCTTATTTCCCCATAGAATTGTAGGCAAAACTAGGCAAGAAGAAATCTGATTAATCACAGAGAAAAGACTCAGAAATAGTCTTTTGACTTGTTGTAGAGGGCCATTTTAGTTCCCGAGTTTATAATAAAGTGTCTATTTAGTCCCTAAAATTTTTAATTTGAGTTGAAATAGTCTTGACAGAGGACTAATTTAGACTCTAAGTTATGCTTTAATTTAGCATGTCAAATTCTGTGAAAACTACTACCCACTTCAAGTGTATTTATTTTGTTAAGTTCTCATTGTTTTCAACCGCCAGTTCTTTTTCTTGGAGTTTGTAGGAAATCATTTTATTATAACATAACTAATAATTATGTTTTCTTTGGACCGCTTATTTTCTTCTTTATGAATGTTCTTCACAATTTAAATCAAAGATTACAATTTTATTCATTGATGTGATATAATTTTACAGCATGTACCACGGACCAATACATTCATTCCAAATTTTAGTGAGGCCAGCCTAGATCACCAGAGGCTTCTACAAAGGTATCTCTTGTTTCCCATATTAGGTGAAATATTGAAGTGGATCCATGCTATTTTTCCTGCCATGTTGCATCATCAAATATAAGTTTTATTTTTTGTTTTCCACATATTTTATTTACTTTAAATATGTATCTCTGTGGTCATCGCCCTGTGCCATTATTCCTTAGACCTGGGGTTTGAATCTTGGAAAAAAAATATATTATTAGGTTGTTCGGAAATAAGACTTTGTTACAGTTTATTTTGTCGTTTCTTGCTTGATACTTTCCAAGAAATTGTATCTACTTAAACTCTTCATGAATTTCATCAACAAGCAAGGCATGCCAAAGGCTAGGAGGCGAATGAAGGTTAAAAAATGAAAATATTTATGCTGGTTCAGAGGGTGTTGCGATGTGGTGTTTAACCTGGGCAGTGAGACGAAACAGTCATTGCAATTGTTCCACTGCTAGATTTTGGAACGTTGAATGTGAAATTCTGTGGATTCAATGCATGCATGCGATCCGATTCATCACCATAAAATTGTAAAATGCATTTTAAAAAACAAACATATAGAGATAATGCGTCCTGATGAAGTCTAAAGATACATCCACTAGAGATGGAAAAAGTTTCACTATCATGGTCTACAATGAAAGAACATTTATTGGTCCTTCCCAAAACCTGAGTACACCTCTCTAAACTAGGTAAATGGGAACATCAAGTTTCTCAACAGAACTAAGAGAGAATTAATTTATTAGAGATACCAAGATAGAGGATTAAGCGAATACCAGAAAGTAACCCGCTTAGAAAGTTTCTTAACATAAGGCATTGTTAGTTGAAATTATACTTGGAACTCCTAGAAATAAACTACTAGAAATAGAGAATTAATTTATTAGAGATACCAAGATAGAGGATTAAGCGAATACCAGAAAGTAACCCACTTAGAAAGTTTCTTAACATAAGGCATTGTTAGTTGAAATTATGCTTGGAACTTCTAGAAATAAACTTCTTATGTTTTTTTTTTTCTTCCTTCTTTCCCCACTTCTATTTCTTTTAAATTTCTTCTCAACTCTTTTACCAAAAAAAAATAATAAAAAATAAAAATAAAAATAAAAAAGTTAAGATTGCCTTATACTACTATACCAAGTAAGCTGCCATCCATCAACTCAATGCAGAGCAATCTAATATAGCAAAATCACATAACCTATTCTCAGACTTTCATATAGGAAGATTGATTTATGTCTCATTATGTGATTTATATATGAATAGTGAGTCAATACCTAACAAATCACCTAATACATTTCCAAGCCTTCACTCCAAAAACTTCAAACCTACCTCACCGTATGAGTTATGCTTGATACTGTAGAGGTGTAAACAAGCCGAACACGAGCAAGCCTGGGCTCAACTCGTGTTTGGCTCGTTAAAAAACACCGTTGTTTGTGTTCGGCTTGTTTATATTTCGAACAAAAAAATTTGTTCTTTTTTGGCTCGTTTGGTTAGCGAGAGGAACATGAGCTGTTTGCGAACAAAGAGCCGTTTTGACAACGCTAATCACAAAGCCGTAGGATGATAAGGGTTAACGCGAGATTTAAATCTTATTATTTATATTAAAATATCATTTAAATATAATTTAATATATTTTTATTCTAATTTTTATTAACAATTTTAATTGATTATAAGTTTTTGTAGCCATGTAGTCAATTAAATTATTTAATAATATTACTCATCAATTATATATATATATAATCTAATTTTTTTAATTAATAATTTTAAAAGATTATGAATTTTAATAGCATTATAGTCAATTAAATCTTTGTAAAATATTATTCATCAATATTATATATATATATATATAAGTCCTTTCCCT